CATAAAATTACGAGAATAAAGTCGAAAAATTACGAGAATAAAATCATAAAATTACGAGAATAAAGTCGTAATATCATGACAATAAATTTGTAACATTACGAGAATAAAGTTGTTAAATTACGAGAATAAAGTCGTAAAATTACAAGAATAAAGTCATAAAATTACGAGAATAAAGTTCCAAACTAAACGAGAGTAATGTCGTAAAACTACGAGAATAAAGTCCTAATACTATGAGAATAAAGTCATACAATTACGGGAATAAAGTCGTAATATTACAAGTATAAAGTCATAAAATTACGAGAATAAAGTCGCAAAAAAACAAGAATAATGTCGTAAAACTACGAGAATTAAATCGTAATTTTATGAGAATAAAGTCATAAAACTACGAGAATAAAGTCGTAATATTACGAGAATAAAGTCATAAAATTACGGGAATAAAGTCGTAAAGTCCTCCAGATCAAACCAAGGCTCTTGGTTTGATCCGGAAGAAGCGGCCGGCGGTAAACTTTTTTTCTTCTTCATTTCGGCCAGAGGCAACATGGCAACGTCAAACAGACAGGGGTGCTTTACTTGCTGTGATCGGCTCAGTTGTTTCACCCAGTCTGATAAGAGGAAAAACTCTAATAGCTGTCTTTTAGTAGCTAACTAGCTAAGAGCATAGAATATACTTAAGTGGTAGAGGCATTAATATAGATCTACAATATTACAAAAAACAACAACTTAAAATGTTAAAATATGATGTGTGCAGAATTAATAGCAACATAAAGCTATACAATCAAAAGCATAACGTATATATGAAGGATATGACAACAACTTTAAAAGACAATAGGAAAAAAGAATAAATGATACCGTCAAAGATATGTACCCTAAGATTATTAAAATAACGTGATAAACTTCATCATTTAATTAATTATTAGGGATTATTTGCACCAGGTCCAGCAGAGGGCGCCCCAGGCAGTTACCTTTGACACCTGTCAGTAAAGTTGTCCATGATGTGGAGTGATTTTTTCTGCGATTGTCGTTGAAAACAAAAAACATTTTTTGTAAATAAAAATAAAATGTAAAAGATCCCAAACCAAATTTTTGAAAAACCTCAAATGAAAAATAGATTTGCGGAATCTTCTCAGATGTTTTTAAAATAATGAAATAGTTTATTTTATTTTCATATTTTATCTTTCCAGTTTTTATTTAACTTTTTTTTTTTTTTTCAAAAGTCCTTTTTCCAGAGTTTTACAGATTGCATTTCTGTTGGTCTGCAGAATGTTAGCAAAAACATCGTATCGGTCAATGTGAGGATCAAGACAGAGCATTTAAAGTGAAGACAGTGTGATCTATAAAATGCAGTTTAAAGGAATAGTACACCCAAAACATGATTAGCCTTCATTTTCTACTCACCCCCATGCTGAACAACACTCTGGAGTACTTTTTTGATATCTCA